AGCAGTCAGTTCAAGGGAAAAGCAGAGACGACTCCGGGCATGCCCCCCTTAGCTCCACTGCCCCACACTTGAAAGCAGGAGGCCCCAGTAGCACCTCACAGCATCCTCCATGACCCAGCCTGCTGTGACTCCACAGGAGAAGGTGGAGATGCAGAGACAGCGCTTCAGGTTGGAGTTTGAGAAACACCGGGGCTTTCTGGCCCAGGAGGAACAGCTGCAGCTGAGGCGGCTGGGAGGGGAGGGGAGACTACGTGACAGTAGGAACAGGCTGGTCCAAAGGAACAAGGCCCTGAAGGAGCTAGCTGAAGAGCTGGAAGAGAGGAGCCAGCAGCCAGCCCTTGGGCTTTTGGAGGTGAGGCAAGCTCCTGGGGTGTAGGCAGAGGTGAGGCTAAGGGACAGAGATGAGATCTTGTCATCTGGATACTGCACCTAGGCATGCTTGTTCTTAGTGAAAGAATGTAGAACTGATATAGAAGGCAGGAGAATCTGAGGGGACCCTTTAACAAGTGAGTGTTCACAAAAAGTTATGTGTTGACTATCTTTAGATTTTATGTGATTCATGTACATTATACAGACACACACACACACACACACACACACACACACACACACACGCACACACACTTCTTTTAGCAGAGAAAGTGCCACCAGATATTAATGGTGTCCTTTCTCATCAATGTAGATCAAATGGTCAGCTTTGATGTGATGGATCAAAGAATCAGACACTTATTATTCCTTACAAAGACATTAAGGGTAACGTGTGTGTTGTGTGTGTGTGTGTGTGTGTGTACCTCAAATACACCCTTCAGATATTTTGATGCCTTCCCCCCAAATATATCTTCATCTAGTACAGGGTCTAACTCTACCAAAAGATCCAATTGGCAGAATTATCAATGCAGAAATAGCTAAACTGATAGATTTTGGGGGAAACAGATGTAAAGTGTGTGCAGCATGATTCTATTCCAATTACGACGGGGTGATTTGTCACTGAGACTATTGGCTGTTGAAATCCTGAGACTTCTGGCTGTTTAAAGCCCAAGATTCTTGACGTTTAAAGCCGATTATTCCTGTAAAGAGCAGGGGTTTGTTGTTCCTCAAAGCTTCATCTTAGGTGTTAGCAACTTTCAAATATTTCTACTGACGTCTTTACTGTGCCTCTGCCTGACTTCAGAAAGAAGTCAGAGGCCTGACTTATCTTTCCTTTTCCTTTCCAGGGAGTGAGAGGAGTCTTGTCCCGGTATGTTTCATTTCTGAATCAGGGTGGGGTGGCTGGTGCAGGGGAGGTAGGCCCCTGGTGACCACACTGACACCTGTGGGCTCTGCATATTTCCAGAAGCAAAACTGTCACACGACTGGAACCAGAGGCCATCCCCTTGGAGCTGAAGACGGTGTGCTGCATCCCTGGTATGAGGGAGATGCTCAAGAAATTCCAAGGTAAGTATCCAGGTCCTCAGATCCGCTACCTCCCTGTTACAAAAAGAATGAGAGACAGGAAGAGGTCAAAGGAAGTTAGTTTGGGCCAGAACTTGGGAAAGGAAAACTCCCAATCTCTCTCCATGTTTGCCTGTAAAAGTCTCACAATGTGTAGAAAAGATAAATGAAGACCAGGGTGCATACGTGAAAGAGTGCATGAGTGCATTCATGGGTGTATATGCATGCGTGCACAGACTCAGCTATTAGATACATCTTTTCCTCTGGCTCCCAGGTTCTGTCCTTTTCTTACCCAAAGCATGGCTGCATTTTGTAGAGAGACTGTTGGTTCCTGGGGCAGGCTCTCAGTGCAGCTGACTCTGTGCATGTCACGTGGAGGTAACAATCAGAGCCCAAAGTCCTAGAGGCAAAAGTCAGCCAAGACTTATTTGAGAGCATGCTGTCATGAATGGACTATGGGGACCCAAAGCTTAACCTCTGCCTTGGTGCTTGTCATCAGGTATAAGGCCAAATAAAGCAAAAATTATCATTTTTTTCTCCTTTCATTCTCTCAATGACTTCAGCACCTTTGATCACTGAAATGTGTTAGGTTTTCCCTCTGACAGTTGATCAGTGTCCCAGTAGGTTCCCTAACTAGGAATCTAACATAGTTCCCTTTCTGAAGAGTTCAGCCCAGAGACAATATCAAGCTGACAGTCCACCCCAGAGGACTGACACCCGCCACCAACAAGTAGATTGTGGCCTCCATTTTAAGGGTTTTTTGTTTGTTTGTTGTTTTGTTTTGGTAAGTATACAAAGCAATGGGTTTCTTTATTTTAAAAGTGATTTCTTCATTTATTTTCTGTATGAGTTGTTTTGCCTGCATCATGTGTGTACAGTGCCCTTGGAGACCAGATGAGGGCATCAGATCTCCTGCAACTGGAGTTATAGATGGCTTATGGGACACAATGTGGGTGCTGGGAACAAAACCCCAGATTCCTGTGCTCTTAGCCACTGAACCATCTTTCTATCCCCAGCGATGGGTTCTTTATGACATTTTCATACATGTGCATCATTGTACTTTGCTTATACTCAATCCCATCCCCACTGGGACCCCCTTACCTCCTGTCTGTCTCTGTCCCTCGCCCAAATATCTCCCCCCCCCCACTTTTTTCTTTCATGTCCTACAGCTGGATAGATGACATATTTCCCATTACCAATATCAGAGCTCTAGGCCTTCAATTAAGGTCTTTGATTTCTTTTGAGTTGATTTTTGTGTCAGCTAGATGATAAAGGTCTAGCTTCACTCTTCTGCATGCAGATATCCAGTCTCCCTGCTGAAGAGACTCTCTCTTTTTTTTTTTTCAATGCATGATTCTGGCATTTTTGTTGAGACTCATTTGGTTGTAGTTGTGTGAGTTTACCCCTGGGTCCTCTCTTCTTTTCCACTGCTCTGCACACCGCTGTATAGCACTACACTATAGTCCACTGTATCAGCACTATACTCATCTTGTCACTATGGCTCTGTGGTATAATTTGAGATCAGGTATTATGATGCTTTCAGCATTGCTCTTTTTGATCAGGGCTGCTTGAATTCTCTGTGTCCCATGTGCTTCCATATAAATTCTGGGATTGCATCTCCTATCTCTAAGATTTCTATTTGAAATTTGGTCGGGGATCATAGTAATCTGCAGACTGTTTTAAGTAACATAACCATTTTCATAATAATAATAATAATAATAATAATAATAATAATAATAATAATAATAAATGGAGACAGTGGTGGCACATGCCTTTAATCATAGCACTATTTCTTCCCTCAGTGCTTTAAAGTTTTATTTGTAGAAGCTTTCACCTCTTTGGATAGGTTCATTTCTGTAGTTTTGGGAGGACTTTTGTTATTATTTTTTGTTTTATTTTGGCTTTTTAGAAACTACCGTGCATGGTATTTTTCTCTCTTTCTCATTAAGATCATTGTTTGTAGATAGAAAAGATACTGATATTGGATGTGAGTTTTATATCCCACCGCTTTGCTGAAGGTGTTTAAAATGTCTAAAGTTTTCTGGTGAAGTCCTGAGGGTTTTTAAAATACATTGATTATACCACCCGGAAATAGGAATAACTTAATTTCTTTCTTCAAATTTGTTCTCTTATTTCTTTATCTTGCCTTATTGCTCTGGCTAAGACTTCAAGCACTACATAGTGAGGACTGTGTGTATTCTTTTCTCATCTCTGACTTTAAAGGAAACGCTATGTTTATCTTCTATAACCTTTGTTATGTTGAGGTATCATGAAGGGATGGATATTCAGCATCATGAAAGGTCCTTCCTGTATCTGTTGAGATGATCATGTGATTTCTGTCCTTAGGTCTATTTAAGTACTGGTGTCTTAGTTGGGGCTACTGTTGCTGTGATCAAAGTTCATGACCAAAAGCAAGTTGGGGACGAAAGGGTTTATTCAACTTATGTATCCACATCACAGTTCACCATCAAAAGAAGTAAGGACAGAAACTCAAGTAGGGCACAAACCTGGAGGCAGCAGCTGATGCAGAGACCATGGAGGGATGCTGCTTACTGACTTGCTCAGCCTGCTTTCTTTTAGAACCCAGACTACCATCCCAGGGATGGGATGGACCCTCCCCCTTCAGCCACTAATTAAGAAAATGCCTTACAACCAGATCTTTTGGAAGCATTTTCTCAATTGAAGTTCCCTCCTTTCAGATAACTCTAGCTTGTGTCAAGTTGACACAAGACCAGCCAGCACAGCTGGGTTGCTTATACTAATTTGTGTATATCAAACCATCTTTTCATAGCTAGAATGAAATGAACATGGCAATGGAATATGGCATTCTTAATGTGTTCTTAAATTTGGTTTGAAAGTATTTTACTGAAATTTTCTGCATCCATTTTCATTAGGAAAGTTTGTAGTTTCCTGTTGTGTCCTTCTCTGGGTTTGGTATTAGAGTGATACTGGCTCCATCGAATGAGCTTGGTAGCATCCTTTCCCATTCTTTTTTATAGAACTGTTTGGGAGTATGTTAACTCATCTTTAAATGGCTGGTAGGATGGCAGTGCAGTTGATTGGTCCTGGCCCGTATTTCTGATTGATCATTTGTCAGCAGAGTTTCTCAGGACTTCCCTCCTCAGGGCCAATTAATCCAATTAATTTGTGAGGCCTGCTTGCAGAATACAGGGAACACCACTTGGCTACTTATTGTGAAGGAGTTACAGAGCATGCAGAGGGACAGGCAGACACAAAAGATGAGTGAGGAGAAAGGAGAAGAGGTTCAGCTTCTGCTCCAACCCTACCCCTCCCCACACCAGACTCCTCCTTCCAGGAACCTCTGTGTGGTTAGCGCTCTGGAGGCCAGACACTCTGGTATTTTCCTTTGCACACAAACAATGGGTTTA